TTCGATCTGAAATTCTTTCGGCGAGCTGACCAGCTTGAGGCCGATGATCTGCCCATCCGAGACGATCGCTTGCGCGTTCCTGTTCCAGCGCGACGACGGCGCCCCGTCGATTACCACAGTGGTACGAGAGGCAAAGTACCCGCTGCCACGCACGGCGCCCTCGACGCGGGCCACGCTGCCCGTCGGCCCCGCAACCAGTCTGGCCGACGCCGCCTGTGAGGGAGCAGCGCCTCGCGCGGTGCTCTTGAAGGAGACAGCATACGTCTGATCGGGCTCGAGTCGCCAGCTCGTCGCAAAGATCGACTTGATTTTCCACTCCGCCGGTCTCGGGATCACCTCTCCACTGGTCGTATCGACGGTCATCACTACATCGGAGCCGTCCGACAAGACGTACGCCTTGGCCGAGTAGGGCAGCTTGGCCTCGCCCGACGCGTCAAAGGTCAGCACGTTTGGCTCACCCGGCTGGCCCGCTAACGCCTCGACCTTCGCGTAGATGTTGTCGAAGTAGGGAAGGAGGCCCTCAATCGTGTCGTCCGTCTCGGCCTCGAATCCAGTGAACGATAGGAGCAAGAGGTGCTCGAGGTGGAGGAAGGTCTGGGCACGTAGCTGCCCCGCTGTCGCCGAGCCACCGAGCAGCGATTGCACGCGCGAGGCGACATGCGCGTCCGCCGCAAAGAAGAAATTGCCGTTGCGCACCTGCTTGCCTCCATATCTGAGCCCCGTCGGGTGGCGCTGCGCTGCCACCGCTGTGGCTAGGCTACGCGACCGACGGCATCGGTCGTCGATGCAACCTCCGTCGTCATCGACGTCGCCCTCCACAAAGAAGACGCGAATATACAAGTCGCCCTTGAATGGCGTGACATGTAGGCTGTCCAAGTCCTCGTCGGCCAGGCCGAGCTCGCTGCTCGCCTGCACCGCCGCAGTGAGCCAGTCAACGGCATACTGGTGCGTCTGGTCGAGCGGCCGCGGCGGCTGCCGCGTGGCTGCCAGCGGCGTGGCGATTGGGAACCCACTGCGCGAGGCCCCCACCAAATCGGGGAGGACGGCGACGGCGGCGTGCGGTATTGGCACGCTGGCGTCGCCACCAAGCTCGCGAATCTCGGCGAAGTTTGACGCAACGAAGTGCGCGTGCAGCCTGCAGCAGGGAGGGGCCGGGGGTGAGAGTGAGAGGGGCGCGTCTATCCTGGCGCGGCACTACAGCGCAGCAAACACGGTGCGGGGAGAGGCGCGCGCCTCCAGTCGAGCACAGCACCAATCTTACCCAGAGGACCAAAAGCCACGAAGTACTCGAGCCCGAGCGAGTCCACCAACGCGCCTTTGAGCTGACCGTACCGCTCCTCCGAGGGGAAGGGTTCGAAGCCGAAGACTTTTCTCTGATCCACGCCTCCAGCCAGCTTTCGCACAAATGCCCGGCCGCGGTTGGTGATCATGCTTCGGATATTGAAGAGAACCCAGAGCGAATCCCACGTCTCTTGCAGTTTGGCTTGAGTCGCCGCGTCGTTAATCCTAATGTGGCGCTCGACCCCATCCACACGCGCCAAGATCCCCAAAAGCTGTGTGATGTGCTGCCAGAAGCGTTCCATTGACCCGTGCATCGCATGGAAGAGTGGCCGCACGAAGAGGGCAACCTTCTTTAGCGCCATATCTGGCCGCGCGTGGGCTGCAATGTTGGTGATTCTGACCTTGTACCCGCCGAGCAGCGCGGTCATCACCGAATCCGTGTTGGATCCGAGCAGAGAGCGGTGCATCGCCCAAGCAACCTGCCGCTGCAGCCGCCTTTGTGTTATCACGTCGGGAGCGCCGTTGTTGTCGAGGAGGCCGGCAAAGTCGTCCTTTATGTCCCGAAGCCCGGACGGCGATAGCTGGTCAATCACGCGCTGCCGCTGCGCCGCGGTCTGCGGTATGACGGGTCTGACGGGCCTGGCGGTCGGAGTCTTTGAGCGGAGGGCGCCACGCATGGCCGCCGCCCTTGCGCGACCGCCGTACTCCCTCGCAGCGACACGGTTGACCTCGAGCGACAGACCCTGGATTAGCTGCGTCTTGTACGCGTCGGGCGCCTCCACCTCCGACTCTGCGTCCATGTACTGAAAGAAATGCTCGGCAACTTGTTGCGTTGTGGCCCCTTTGTCGAGCAGCCGCCGCAGCGCCAGCGAGGACGCCTCGATGGCGGCGGCAACCTCGTCGGCGTCGGCGATGCGAGCCCCTGCGCCAGTCCCCGCACCGCCACCGGCACCACCACCAGCACCTCCGGTGATGGCGCCCGTCGGCTGCGTCACCGGGCTCCCGAGGGCGAGATCACTGTGGTCGATACCTGTCACGACGTGCTCCTCGTCGCCAGCTCTCCCATCTCCGCCCGACACCTCCTCGTCCACGACGACGACTCTCTCGACTGTGAAGGGGAGAGAGGCGAGCGAGGTGAGCGAGGCGGGGACGGAGAGAATGAGTGCGAGCGCGTCGAGGGAGGCGTGAGCGGCGAGAGCGGCCAGTGTGTGGCGAGCGCGGCACGAGAGGGCGCTGCGCACCAAAGAAGGCGGCGTACACGAGCTTGGCAGCTCGCACAAGCACCTCGACCTTTTGACGAGTGTCCTCCGCCATGGACATAGTCTGATCCTGAGGCACCGGCGCGTGCACAGTCAGGGCGAGAGAGTACGGGAACCCGAGGCTTACCGAGCATCGCAAATACAGGGGCTATACAGCTATACAGCTGCAATACGGCCGAATACAGAAGAGTGCGTGCCTCTCGAGTACTACTCGGAGTACAAGGATCCGTATTCAGCATCTAAGATTGCGTTCCAAAGAAGCATCAAACGTGGAGAGCAGTGCCCGGCGAGTGGCCGGCGAGGTGGGGCGGTGCTCATCGTAAAAGACTTCGTCGGTCGATTGGTCGCAGGCTGGGTCGACAGTGGCTGCGCCGATGTCCGCCAAAAAGGGCGCAGTGCGTGCCGCGGTTAGTACGCCTTTGCCGATCGCAAACACCGTCTCCGCTCTCAGCACCACCAGCCAGCCGTTGAGGCGGTCCGGCGCGCTGACCATCTCGGCCGCCGAATGCATCCTCTCTCCAGCGGGATAGCCGACGGCGGGGATGAAGCGCTCGTGGACCAGCTCGAGGGAGCCAGTCTGCCACGTGTAGAGGCCACGTTGTGAGCGCGGCATCAGATGAAAGTCAACATCAGAGAGCATCCCATCGGCGTGCTTACGGAGCCGGACCTGTGAAGGCTGGGACTCTTGGCCCGCCACCAGAATATTGCTGAGACCAACGGAGGCGTAAAAGTCACGCGTGCATGTGTTGGCTGCCGTTCGCGGTCCGCTAGGCCCATCGGCAATGTCCAGTCGGTCCCACAGCCCTAGCCGATTCGGATACGAGGCGTGCGAGCAAGGGATGTAGCAGTCATTGAGTGCGCAAAACTCGTCCGACACCAGCGTCGGTGGCACCCGGACAAAGCATATCTCGTCCCTGCCGGGGCAGGGTATCAGCTGCTCCTGCTTGGCGAGGCGGACCAGCCAATCCATTGACGCTGCTGCTGGCGCCTCCACTGTCGCAGTCAATGAGAGGAGCAGCGGCGAGAGGCAGCGAAGCAGTGGCACGGACGCAGCGAGCGCGCAAAGGCAGAGCACGAGTAGTCGAGCAGGAGAGGCGGCCGCACGTGCGAGCACGAGCACTGGTGTGCGGGACCACGTTCGTCGCATGTCGAGCTCGGACCTGCCTTCGGGCCTTCGCTTGGACACAGTTTTGTAGAGAAACGCGAAAAACGGCCGGGTACCAAGTACCCCTTCCAACCCCTGTCCCATTCGCCTCTCTGATATGCCAGGACAAGACGGGTACGGAGCCCGCACTCGAAGGGGCTACTAGCCTCTCTCGACTGAGGCTTTTCTTTTGACTACGCCGCCCTCCCCCCCCCACCACACACACACGTACACGTAGAGCTAACAGCTATAAGAGCCTGGCGTCGGTGCTAAGCTGTGGCTCACGCGACACTGCCCCCGGACGTGTGAGGCGCAAGCGGATGTTGAGGGCGATGTTTGCAACCTAACGGAGGCGAGTGTAGCGGTGCGCTGTGCCGGCGCCGGTGCTGATGTGACTACTCCAAGAGACCGTGTCGATTGAAGACTACTCATGACAGAGTGAGAGAGTGTATGTGCGGGTGGACGTGGGCGAGAGGCGTGATGTGGGATGGCGCACCGGTCGCGGTGGTGCGGATGAGTGAGCCGCCGCGCAGCCGTGAGTGAGGTGCTCGATGAGTGAGCCGCCGGGACAGAGCCGCACCTGCGCAGGCAGCAAAGGTGGGCGGCGTGAGCGTGCGCGGTGCCGCGCTCCACGGTGTGCGAGAGTGCCGGGCCGGGCGTGCCCCCATCAGCGATGGAAGCTCAAAGCCGGCACAGAAGCTCCGACACGGGCGTCTGCTGGTTGCGCGTGTCGACGAGCGGGCCCGAGCGAGGCCGCAGAGGAGGAAGAACGTCGGTCGTGCGAGCGCTGAGGACAAACGGACGGCTGAGTGAGGGACGGCAGTCATACCGGCAATAGTCGGTGTGCGGCGGCGGTCGCTCGGGGGCGGAGGCCGGCGGCAGGGAGAGAATCGGGCGAGAGCACGGAGCACGCCTGCCGTCGAGTGAGAGCAGACATCTACAGAGAGCACGTGCGGCCGCGCCGGGCCACCGAGAGGCGCACCTGGCGCAACTCGAGCGTAAGTGACCGTGGCGGCAGCCGCTCAGCGCTCGAGGCGACCATCCGGCCGCCGGGCGTGCCTCTGGCGCCGACTCGGCGCCGTCGGCGACCCCGCGCGGGCCAGAGTCATGTCGAGCCGGGGCTGAGCCGGCGGTGGCGGACGCTTGGATGCACGCTCCGGGGGGCTGCCGGGTCGGATCGGCCTTTCGGGCGCCGCCGCAGCGCCGCGGAGGCACTATTCTGGTGAGAATACGCGCCACTGAGGCCGACTGAAGTTGCACGCCCAGGCCAGCCGGGAGCTTGTTTCTCTCTTCCCGCCGGCCACTGCGAGCGCTGCATGCACGTCGCCCTGGCCATCGCCGCGGCGTCTACTCGCGCTTCTGTGGAAATGGCACCGTCCAAGTCGCCCGGCGCCTCGTCCGACCGGCCGCTGCCGACCGACACCTACCTCTCCGAGTACAGCAAGATCTTTGACCACATCGGCATGCTGGAGGCTCGCTCCCGCTCGCAGCCCATCTCTCCCACAGCGGCGGATGCGCTTCACCGCTCTCGCACCTGGCCGCAGGACATGCAGAGGATGGCTGCCTACCACGACGCCATCAAGCGGAACGCCGCAGTGCACTTCAAGGGCAAGGTCGTGCTCGACGTTGGGTCGGGGACGGGCGTGCTCGCCATCTGGGCGGCGCAGGCGGGCGCGCGGCGCGTGTACGCCGTGGAGGCCTCGGGCGTCGGCGCTCACATCCAGACGATGGTCGAGGCGCACGGGCTGGCCGACACGGTGACGGTCCTGCGCGAGAGGGTCGAGCAGGTGGAGCTGGCCGAGCAGGCTCGCCGCAGCCCGCCGCCCGCGCCGCCGCGCGTGCGGCCTCCGACCTCCGCCGCGCGTGCCCACTCTGTGCAGGTGGACGTGATTGTGTCCGAGTGGATGGGCTACTTCCTGCTGCGCGAGTCGATGGTCGAGTCGGCAGCCGCCTCGCCGGCTCGGGTTGTGGCGAGGCTCGGACGCCGCGGCCTCACCGTCGTGCGCACGCGAGGTAGGTGCTCCTCGCGCGGGACCGCTGGCTCAAGCCGGGAGGAGTCATGTACCCTTCGCACGCGCGGCTGCTCCTCGCGCCCTCCGCGCTGCCCCGCTTCCTGCTCCGCCGCCGCGAGGAGATTGCGAGCTCGATGCACGCGTGGGAGCAGCTCGCCGCCGAGCTGCGGAGCAAGTACTCCCTCCGCCTGGACGCGCTGCAGGCCTCGACCCGCCGCCCCGCCCCTCGCACGCCCCTCCGCCCCCCCCGCCCCCCCCGCCGCCCTCGCCGCCGCCCTCACCGCCCGCCGCCCTCGCCGCCCGCCTCGCAGGCCGCCTACGAGCGCGAGCACCACGAGTACGCCTTCTCCGAGGCGTGGCAAGGCATCCTCCCCGCCTCCCTCCTGCGCGACGAGCCGCAGGTGCTGCTCGAGGCGGACATGCACTCGGTGACGCACGCGCAGTTCTTCGACTGGCAGACCGAGGTACAGTTCGCGCCGCCGCACGCCGACGAGCCGCAGCACGGCCTCTGCGGCTGGTTCGACGTCCGCTTCTGTGGCTCCGAGTCGCAGCCCGCTCACGAGTGCGTCGAGCTCGACACCTCGCCCGAGGCGCCGCCGACGCACTGGGCGCAGACCACGCTGCTGCTCGAGCGGCCGCTCGACGGGTCACCGCTCGTCGTCGCGCTCGCGCAGAACAGCGGCTTCCACCACGACCTCAACGTGACGGTCTCGTCCGGCGCGTGGAGCGCGTCGTATGCTGTGACGGCCGACTTTCGCGGCGGCGAGGACTTCCTGGAGGACGCGGAGGCGGAGGAGGGGGAGGAGGGGGCGTAGGCGGACGACGCCACCTCCCCGCGTCTCGGACCTGACCCGCGACGACCGCTGGAGAGACGCGTGCGCGGAGAGAGTGGCGGGCCCTGCGGTGTCCCTCTCTGCTGAGACGTCTCGCGCACCCAGGGCCCCTGCCGGCCCCGGCCGTACGGCGCTCTTCTCTAGATCTCTCTGAGGGAGTCTGACCTCTCCTCGTACCTCGAGAGTGCACAGCACCTCCCACACCTTGAAGGGGTGGGGGAAAGCTGCTAGCTGGAAAGGAACGGCGAACGCGCCGCCGCCCCAGCCACGGGGCCCACAAATTCCGGAACCCTTCGCTTGGGAATTCTGTTTTCAATTTTCGATAATTAAACATAAAAACTCGTGAGCCTTCAGGGGCCCTTCGCGCCCCACAGATTTCTCCCTTCCGCTCTAGCGGTAGTCTAGCCTGCGTCTCGGTCCTGACTGCGTGTTCCCTCCGGCCGCTCCCACTGCGACCGCCCACTCGGGGCGTGGTGAAAGTAGACGGCGCCCGTGGCGGGGTCTACTCCCGAGACCCACCCGTCGGGCAGCTCCGTCGCCGCGGCGGCCTGCTGCTGCTGCTGCCATTGCGGCGTCAGCGGCGCCTCGCCACCACTAGGCCCCTCTGCACCTGGGTACTCCTCAGCCACCGGCGTGACCACCTCGCCCGGCGTCATCTCCCACACCGCGGGCTGTGCCGCCTCCGGACCGCCGCCGCCGCCGCACGCCGCCGCCGCCGGCCCCTCCCTCCCGCCGTTCGCCTCGGGCCGCGCCGCCTTTGCCGCCCTCCCCTCCGCCTCGAGCCGCTCGTAGAGGTCGTGCTGCGCGTCGCGCCGCCGCTTCGCCTCCTCCGCCGCGCGCAGCGCCAGTTGCCGCGAGTGTATCGCCCGCTGCTGCTCCGGATCCGAGTTGGAGAAGGTGACGCGCAGCGCGGGCCCCCCCTCCGGGTCGATCGGCCTCCCGTCCATCGCCTCGGACGCGAACTGCGCACACGCGCGGCTCCGGAAGCGGACAAAGCCGGTGCCCGGCGCGACGCCCGCCCAAGTCCGCAGGAGCGCGCCCCACTCCGAAAACTTCTCGAGGGAGGCGCGCACCTCTCGCTGCGAGGCCGCCTCGTCGAGGCCCGTAACGAAGAGCAGGCAAGCCGCGTCGACCGAGGAGGTGCGCCTCCGCCCAAAGATGTCGTAGTCGATGCCGTCGGCGGAGAAGGCCATGCGCTGCTCCTCGACGACGGACGGCAGGCGGTGGAGGTTGACGCACGCGGCGCCGTCCCGGCAGGCGCCGCGCGCCCAAGCCAGGCATATCCAAGCGCCGCCTCGCCTGTCGCCGGCGGTCGACTGGGTGTCGACCTCCGGCCAGCAGCGCGGGAGCGCGGGCACGGCGCCGCTGTCGCCGGTGCCCACCGCGTCGATGCCCGGCGGGAGGTCCGACATGGCGTGCCTACTGGGACCCAGCGCTGACTTCTGAGTCGATGCGGTCTTCCCTTTCTCGACTGTCTGAGCTTGTGCGTCTTGGGGAGTTTTGGGGGCCGTGCACTAGGGAGTCGGCGTTGTGTCAGAGGGGGGGGGGTGTGAGGCAAGCGGCCCAGATCTGCTCGTCTCAGAGGGTACCCTCTGTGCCAAGAGAGGCCATCCACGAGCGGCTCAGAGGGTGCCTGGGCCGACCCTCTGAAGGCCTGTGCCGCCAAGCCAGCCTCTCTCGGGTCTCGGCGCAGCCTCTGAGGCTACGGGGCCCTCTGAGACGCCAAGGCAAGCCCCGCGAGGCCGCTCCTCAGAGGGGTTTTCAGGCATTTCAAGTCTCTCTCGTCCCCACAACCACAGAAAAAGAATTTCTGCGAGAGTTGACGGAACTGTCTCTCCAGCTACTCTGCGCGAGGCGCCCCAGCTGTGGCGAGGCACCCAAAATGCGCATCAGAGTCCGGGTCAACGACATTGTCGGGCGGCCGCTCCAAGCACCCCCACATCCTCAAGTTGACGGGGCCGGGCCGTGTGCGAAGCTGGTTCACGCGCAGGGCACGGCGCAGGCGCTGTGGGCGAGCCTGCAGCAGTAAGCGCGTGTGGTGCCGGGCGCGCTTGCGAGCGTATAGAGTAGCGCCTTAGTCATGGATGGTCGCTGTGAAAAGTCGTAATGTTTTACTACCCCGCCCCTCCCCGCCCTCACTGGTCAGCGCCGTTCGTGGAGGGCTAGGCAGCTCCGCCTCCGCCCGGGGCTCTCGCCTCTGCCGTGAGGGGGGGGCACCCTCTGAGGTCAAAGCCCTCTGTGCCGCGCCAAGACGGACCATCAGCCAGGCACCCTCTGAGGCCAAAAGCAGCCAAGAGAGGCCATAGAGGCGGCACAGAGTCAGAGTCAAACCCTCTGTGCCGCCAAGGCAGGGGTCCGACCCGTCCTCAGAGGGGGGTCTGAGGCCTCAGAGAGTGTATAGCCCCCTAGTGGCCGTGCACGGGGTTGTGCTTTTTTATCAGTGTATGTAGCTCTCGTACATTCCCGTAGGAGGACTCTCCTGACAGGGTTTGCGATGTCCGATGAGGAGCGACCCGAAGGGTTTCTCGGAGGTTAGTGCACCACTAACCGCCGAAGCGCAAGCGCTGGGAGCAAGAACACTGCGACGTATCGGGCTCATACTAGCACCCCACCTCGCGAGCCGACGTTCTGGCTCAGCGAGGCTGCTGCGGAGCACTCGCGGACCGCGGTCTCGGGCACCGCACCCGTGCTGCCACAAAGCACAATGTGCTGCCTCAAAGCACCACTAGCGATTTCGCGCGGAGGGCGTAGTGAAGTGCTGGGGCGCTCACTGTGTGTTATTCGGGTGGGGATCCATCAGTGGTAAGCGGCTTTAGTCACAGATCCAAGCTCAGACGTCACACCAACACCACAAACACGCTCACTTCGCCGCTGCTGTAGATGGGCCTCCGGGGGCCCATGCTACGTCGAAGCACAGACCCGATCTCGGCACTCACGGGCTGCCACGCGCCCGCGCGCGGCGCGGGCCGCACCGCCCATGCCCCCGGGTCACCAACCCCGCCTCTCGGCCCTCTCGGCCCTCTCGGCCCTCAGGAGCGTGCGGGAGACCGGCGAGGGACGCGCCGCGCGCCGCCTGCAGAGCCGCCAGAGGCATTGTGTCGCCTCCGCTGGCGGGGTTCCCGCGCGCCCGCCCGCGCCCGCGCCCGCCCACGCCGCGCCCGCGGGCTCCGGATGCGCCGCGCTCCTTCTCCTTCTTCTCGATGGCAGTCCGCACGTGCTTGTCGACGGGTCGGCGGCGTGGTCGAGGGGAAGGTCGCCGGCGGCCGCAACTCCGCCGCCGTCGCTCCGCCGGCTCTGATCGAGTATCGGGCGTTGATGGCGGCGGCGCAAAGCGGGTCTGGCGCATCCATCGCCACGAGCCTCGCGGCCGCGGTCGTGGCACACCTGGTGGCGGCTCTCGGGGCCGTCTCTACGGCGCTCGACGCCGTGTGAGGTCGCCGGCGGCCGCAACTCCGTGTCTCCGCCGCCGTCGCTCCGCCGGCTCTGACCGAGTATCGGGCGTTGATGGCGGCGGCGCAAAGCGGGTCTGGCGCATCCATCGCCACGAGCCTCGCGGCCGCGGTCGTGGCACACCTGGTGGCGGCTCTCGGGGCCGTCTCTACGGCGCTCGACACCGTGTGAGGTCGCCGGCGGCCGCACCTCTGCCGCCGTCGCTCCGCCGGCTCTAACCGAGTATATCGGGCGTTGAGGGCGGCGGCGCAAAGCGGGTCTGGTGCGCCACGGCCACCACCCTTGCCACCGCCCTTGCCGCCGCCCTTGCCACCCTTTGCCGCCTTGCCTCCGCCGCGGGCGGCGGTGGGAGCGGCCTGCTGGGCTAGCATGTTGTCCGTGCTGTGTGTGGACGGGCACGTGGAACGTCAATTCATGTTCGAACGGCCTCCGGGATTCAAACGAAAAATAGCCGGGGCCCTCTCGCAACCCATCCGACCCCCCGGGACCCGTGGGCGTCGAAGAGGCGCTCTCGGGGGGCCGTTCTGAGTTCATGCTACCACGAAGCACACTGTGCTGCGTCAAAGCACCGGCCCCGAGTCCGACCGGTTCTTCTGGTCCAGCGAGTTTTTCAGTGTATGTAGCTCTTACGAACATACCCGTAGGTGAACTGCTGACGGGGTTTTTGTGTGAACAGATTCAAGTGAACAGATTCAACCCACGAAAAGAAGAAAAATCTGACTCGTCAATCCGCCTGGGGCTCTCTGGCCGCCTCCTTCCGAGAGCCTCGACGATGCTCACCACTCGGCCTCTCTCCGGCGGCGGGAGGCCACGCCTGGTCGGAGGTCTTGCTGCGCTGCTAACGACGCTGGTGCTGCTCGCAAACTCGCGGCGGGGCGGGAGTGGCTGGGCTGTCGGTGCAGAGGAGGCAGCGGCCTCCAGCAGCACCGGCGGTGGCAGCACCGGCGGCGGCGGCGGCAGCGAGCAGCTGGACGCCGAGTGCAATAACTGCAGGTGGACTGCGGAGTGGGCCTGCCCGGGCGGCGATATTCCGGGCACAAAGGGCTGGGCCGAGCCGGACGAGTCGGTCTGCTTCAACCACTGCTGCCCCGACTCGTGTGCAGCGTACAGCGTGATCACCGGGAGCTGCTGGCGGCACAAGGCCCCTCGCGAGGTGCCGTACAACGAGGCTCTCGCGAGGACGGACGGGTACAAGCTCGTCAACGTGGCGCTCGGCACAGACTGCAGGGAGACGTGGCTCCTCTCCAAGTTTGCGACCGCCGTCACGGGCCTCGTCCGGCACGGCATCGAGTCGCTCAAGCTGCCGATGAAGGTGACGCGCTTTCTGCCGCCCGGCGCCGACCTGCACGTCAGCTCGATCACCGGGGCGATTGTCGTCCTCGACAACGTCACCGTCACCAAGATCCAGCCATCCGTGCTCAAGTACGGCTTCTGCTACGACGACCAGGAGTGGCGCGTGGACCAGAACTGGGTGCTGAGGAACACGTTGTACCAGCGGCCGCCCGACCGGATGATGGTCGTCTCGAGCGAGATCCAGGCCACCGTCAAGTTCGACTACGAGCTCTACCAGGACCTGCTGCTCGGCAAAGTGCCTCTCGGGGACGGCCCGCCTTCCTAGATGCGGGGCACGTCACTCTGTCAGAGACAGCGCCCGAGAGGACACGCGACAGCGCCCGAGAGGACACGCGAAGAACTGAGCTAGTGCTCGCGCCCTCCTCCCCCGCAGGCTCCGCGCAGACGACCGTCAAGGGCTTCCTCGGGCTCGACCTCGACCTGTCGCGCATCGCGACGAAGGCGATCAGCGACTGCGACGGCAAGTTCGGCATGACCTCCCTCGCCCTCGAAGTCAACTCCGACCTGCTCGGCGAGAACCTCGGCATCGAGGCGTCGGGCGCGATGACGAAACACCTCGTCGAGAGCTTCGCGCCGCTCATCGCCTCGCAGGTGACCCGTCGCCCCCAGCGACGCCGCGCCCCGCCCCTGCCGTCGCCTCGCCCTCGCCCGCCCCAGCGACGCCGCGCCCCTGCCCGCCCGCCCACCCCGCGGCCACACCGAGGCCCACCACCGCCGCACTGCCCTCCGCCGCCGCAGATGCACGCCATCATCTGCCACGGGAACGGGCTTGCCGACGTCAACATCGTGCTGCACGACCCGCCCGAGGGGGAGGGCGACGTCGACCTCGAGGCGGAGCCGGTTGCAGAGGTGGAGCGCTTCCGCGGCACACGCCCTCCTTGCGCGGCTGCTGGACGGCGAGCGGCGCGCGTCTCTTCACGGCTCCGCCTGTGAGCAGGCATCGTCGAGGAGATCAACGAGCAGCTGGCGAGCAGCTTCGGGATGCTGGGTGCGGTGCAGCGCTTCGCGGAGACCGACGAGGACCGGCGGCGCAAGATGAAGCGCGACTGCGAGCGGCTGCGCAAGGCGGGCAAGGAGGTCTGGGGCGACTCGTGCCTCGGCATGAAGCGCTTCCAGAACGTCGACGCGGCGCCGCCGCCGCCCGCCCCGCCCGCGCAGCCGAGCTGGTCCGACATCTTCGTGAAGGACGTCGTCAGCTTTGGCTGGGCGCCGCAGGTGCCGACGATGGGCTAGCGAGGCGCTTGTTCGCACCGCCGCCTCCGGCGTGCGCCCAATTTAGGAATCTAGTCGATGTGTGCATGCGTGCTGCGGCAGCGTGGTCCATCAGACACACACACATGCTCCATGCAACGTCAGCAGCACCACAGTCGCAGTGGAGCGGCGAGTGAGGCCGCGGCCCGTCCGGCGCCAAGACGCGCACACATGACACATCACCGGCGCAACACCAGCACCACAGCATGCATTTCCCATGTCCAGTTCGCACAGAGTTGTGCCTATGAGCTTCACACTACGTTACACACACTCTCTCTCTCTGTGATCTCTGCGCGCGCGGGTGTGTCTGTCTCTCCCCCGGTCTCGGTCCGTCGCACCGTGACAAATACGTATGTGCAAAACACCGGCCACCTGGCACCCTCCCCGCCACACCCGCGGCGCGCGCCCCGGGCACGCCTCACACACACAGCCTGCTGACACAGCTCCCAAAATACGGGGTGTGGACCCTGAGTTGACCAGGGGTTGTGCGCTGGGCTCTCCTGCTCGGCTCCAGCCAGTAGACAAGTCTTGTCATCAACAGAGTAGAAGGATCTGACCTCGGGGCCGATGTGACCAAGCGCTGGTAGCGTGGTTTAACCTCACACCCATGGTATCACAGTGTGCCGGCAGTCGCCGAGCAGTGTCGCTCACACAAGCCGCAGCACAAGTGACTGAGGGCCAGTGAGGGCGAGCCCATCGCTGTCACAGCTGTGGCAGCCGCACAGTAGGCTGTGTCAACTGTGCAGAGTGTGTGAACAGCAGAGGAGCTGCTCTCCAAGCTTCAGGCGCAAAGAGCTGCATGCCGCCGATGGCGCTGTCGAGGTTCGCCGAGCGCGGCGCAGGTTGGAGGAAGCCGCCACCGACGAGCGCGTTGGAGTATTCACTCCGGACAAAGACGGGTAGACGCACACGAGCCGCGGTCGTCTACCCGTCATAGCGGCGAGGCGCGGGACCGTCTGTGGCGAAGTGGGTCGCGTCCTCCGATTTCCTCAACTCACGGTCCGCTCCCTCTACCAAAAACGAAATATGAGCTTTGTGGCATATAACGATCTGAGGGTTAGGTTTCTGGAGCCCCGGGTGCTTTTACGCTGCTTTTGATCCGGTCAGGGGAGTGCGACTTTTACCACTTTGGTCGTCTCGGAGCGCCTCCATAAGCTCGTTTAGGGTTTAGCATTTATTCTCAAAATTTTCCTCGGCGCTGCGCGCCGGGTGCAGATTGATTGCAGTATAGTACACAGTAGTAGTGGCTCTCGTCCCGCAAAGTACTGTTCCCGCACAGTACGCTGTATTCACAGCGATTGCGGCGAATAAGATACCACCCTCAATGACAAGCAGAGCCTGACCAGCTA